GGGGGGGGGGATCACCCACTCCATACATGCCCACACCATACATGGCTAAATGGTTCAGACTCCACTAGCTCGTCACCACTAAGAGATACTTCTGGTTTAAGACAACGCATAACTTAACTCTCACCTTCTCAACTCAGATGGATGCACCCTGAGGGTGCCTGGCTGTCACCCGTCAGGGTGGGAAGGCTGGCTGGTCACCTCTGTGCAAGGCGGTCGCTAACTGAATCTACCAGCCACCCCTAACGTGGGGAAGCTGGGTATTCCTCATGCCCTAATAAGGACTGAGACAGGCCAAGCTAGCCCTTACAGGACCCATGCTGAGGCCCGACAGTACAAGACCCTCCTTGTTAAGTACTGCCATGTTAGCGGATTGAAGCTAGTCAACACCTCCCTCGTACCATCTTGTTCCTCACCATCACGCACGCACACACACACCCACCCACAATTACAACTCGCAATTATACACGAAAGAGTGCAAAATACTTGCACTGTTACAATAGTCTGTTACACTGGGCCTAGACCAGGCTTCATCTCTGACTACCCCTACTGACTTTCTTCATTCCTGTCCCACTTCTGTGGCTGGGTGATGGCACAGTTGCTGTCACCCAGTGACACCCAAAGCCCAATGATGACAACCTGGTGTAGCTCCATCTTCCATTGTAACAACTGCGCTGTTTATTCCCCCTCCTTCCTGAGCATTCCCGGTGTCATTACCACGCTTGCACGCATTTGATTCCCCTGCTATGTTCCAAGATTTTTTTTGGCCCCACTGTGGCCTAAGTATTTTTATTTTTGTCACAAACATATCTGCCTTGATATGCAGATTCATAAGCACTTAATTGACTGTGTATTTCCAGGTTACTTTTAACCCCACCCAGTCTGGCACATGCATAGTTGCGGCCACTTCTCAGGAGGTGGCTGTCCACCTAGCTAATTTGTCCTACGCTGGTGAGGCCCCAGTTTGTGTTCAAAAATTCTGTTGAATGCCAACACTGGCAATGTTGTTCTCCATTACCATGTTGCAACTGGAGACAGAGAGACCTTAAGACTGTCATGAGGATATTAAATATATCCTCAAGGCCCAGGGCTTTTCTCCTACAGATAGACCTATTCTCTCATTCCCCTCATGGTCGTCATCAATCCCTTTGTAATGTTAAGATCATTTTTGATGGTAGGACCCTTCTGTATTCCATCATTCTTCCTGGTGCCAGATTCTCCGTTTGAACAGGAGTACATTCCCTCTTCACACTTATGCAATAGGTGTTGGAAATTTAATCATGGTTCTAACAGATGCAGTAGATATATATTCCTTTGCTCCTTGTGTGGTGATCCTGCATATCTTTACTGATTGCTTTTCTTCCTAAGCTCACTGCATCAACTGCAGTGAGGCTCACCCTGCCTTTTCTCTTATATGCATCCATTATAAGTTTGAACAAGCTGTCCTTGCCTTGAAGCATCATAATCATGTCTTTCCCCAAAGCTCGCCCCAGATCCACCATCTCGACTCTTTCTCAACCATTACTATTGTCCGTGAGTTGTCACACTACGCTTCCCCACCCATCTTCCCATCATTTGTTTCAAAATCGTTTCTAAATCTTAAGTTTTCCGAGCTTCTGCTTTTAATATCCCAAGTTTTCCATTCTGTGCATCTCTAGAAACAGATGCTTGGCACCTGTCTTGGTCTTTTCTGTGGTTGTGCCTTTTTAATGTGACCTAAAATAAAAATCTATCATCTGTTGGCATCGGTGTCCTTTCCAAGCTGCGTGCTTATAGCATATAGCCTGGGCACAGGCTGAAGAAACCCACTTCCACATGTCTCGGGTGGCACAGAGGAATAGAGCATAGGGCAGCATCTAATTAGGTGTCATGAAAGAGAGCATAGAAGTTGAAAATATTCTAGTCTGCATTTAAAACCACCTTCGAGGGAATGAGAGAGGAGGGGGGGAGGTTACAAGGATGGGGAAACTGTCATTATGAAGATGATCCAGGACCTTCCATGATAAGTCTGTATAAATAGGAAGAGGGAAGAAAGAATACAGTAAAGGATGTTGACTTGCACATTCACATGAATCGGCTCGCTGACACACAATAACTCGTGCAAAAAAAAAAAAAAAAATACAGGGGGAGGGGATGGGGGCTTTGGGTATTAGTCAGAGCATCACCCCAGAAGGCATGCCTACAGTTAAAAATCACCCAAGAGGACCACAGGCTCTGGTAATAACTCCAAGAGGCAACTAAGTTTGGGAAGAGAAAGAGGGGCATGCAAAGGGAGATAAATGGGACAGACAGTGTATCATTTACATATAAAGATACGAACAGCAAAGGAATAAACTTTAGAGGGATAAAGGGATCATCATTCTGGATCAAGAGAGGAGTTCCAACAAAATCTGAAGGAGAGGAAAGAAAGGCATAATGCAGAAGTGACTAGTATGAGCACCAAGCATCAGCTCCTGGAGACACAAATCAGTGAAAATTTATATCAGAAATTAGAGTTCAGGAAAATTTGCAAAGAAACCACGAATATTACATAGAAAAATAGCCATAATGCAGAATATATCAAGAAAAAGAAATATAAAGGAGAAAACTAAGGCAAAGGACACAGACTAGGGAGGATCAGGAGTAGGTGCAGTGGGGTCAGGGATGGTATACCCAGCAAGGACAGAGTTGAGAGGAACAGAGGTGAACTGATGGGGTCAGGAGAGGGAGGGGCAATCAAAGGAGAGTGAGTGATCAACAGAAATGGCAGGAAGCACTTCATCAGGGATAGTATCGGAGGCAGAATCAATGGCTACATGAACTTCCATAGCTAGATCAGCCAACTCTGCTACCAAGATAGGAGGAGGAGCAGAAACCAAGATGGAAGAGGAAATGGGGGAAAGAACAGAAGCCTTCTTACCTGCTGGGGAGGAAGAGAAACCATATTTCCATTTCTTACTGAGACAGGCATACCAGTAGTGGTGTACTGTGCAATGACCTAGTCTCTCAGTCAGAGAGGGAGAACAAGAATGGACAACACCAAGATGACTGGGAGGAGGATGGACATCGGTCTGGATGGACAGTTTGTGGGGACATGGAAGGCTAAAAAGACAAAGGGGAAGACCGAGAGAAAAGATGGGGTCAAGAAGTGAAGGACTACACAGTGGAAAGAGGACGACGAAGACTGAGAAGTGGTGCTATCTTGGCAGGTAGAAGAGTGGAAAGGAATACTGGAAGTGAGAGTTGAAGATCCAAGAGGACCTCTTGAGGCCACAGATTGCAGCGGAAGAAGGGGGGAGCTGGTGAAGGTGTTGGGGTTTAATATGAAAGCTGCATATATTCCACTGAATAAGACATATAGTATTTTAAGTATAGGAAAAAGGATGGGGTGAAAAGGTACAAGAAACTAGTGGGAAAACTAATTGTTACCAATATCAGGAGGCATAGGCATGTCAAGTAAGGAAGAATAGCCCAGGAGAAGCAAGGAAGGAAGCTTGGATGTACAGTCAATGTGGTAAGGTGAGGGGTAGAGAGTACTTGAGCACACAGGGCAGCAACAGTGCCAGACTCCATACAGGGCTAGATCAACAGAAGGTCAGAGACAAAGGTCTTCTTGTTTTTTACAGGAGAGGGACTCGGCTGACACCTTTGACTGAGAAATGGGGGTCACATAGCGGCAAGGGTCAGTAGCATCAATGTACCTGTACTTGTGATGTCCGCAAAGGTTTCGACCAAAGACAAGTGAAGACGGCAATGAGGACAAAAGTGGATATCAGTTGCGACCATAAAGGTGGGAAGATGGCCAAAAGACAGAAGGTAGGAAGATTGAGAGGAATAGAGATGGGGCCTACCAGTTGTTGGTCCCAAAGTTAATGTCCCTGTGGCTTGGTCTCTGACCAGATTATCATCATGGTGTCTGATCAACCAGGTGCAGCTGCTTGCAGCCTGGAGGGACCCCCAATGGTAATAGTGTCTGGAGACAGACTGGACAACTGTCACATTTAACTTTTATATACTTTGGTTTGGAGATTAGATCACTCAAAACAGTTTCCCAGGAAACATTGGCTGGTTACTTCATTTACAAGTTACCACTACATGGTTAATATTAACACTTTTGCCCGGGCATGACACAGCATTGCGTCATCCGTTTACTGGCGGTAATACCGGGGATGACGCAGCATTGCGTCATCCACTTTAAATAATCGCCAAAAATCAGGTTTATCCGATTTTTTTTGGACTGGTTTTAAAATGCGCGCCGATGTCTTCCCATTTTCTTTGTTGAGCCTCGTGGCCCTCAGGCGGCTTGGTACACGCCGTGGGCCCATTGTTTTCGCTCTACTGTTGTGACCAATGTTGCCTCCCCTCGCATCACAAACATGTGAACATTTCAGCTATTTTCCGTGGCTATATTTCTTACTGCGGCTTTAGAAACTATCTACGCTTACTCCACGATGGATAGTGATCATGAACAAGGCCCTTCCAGGAAGAAAATTGCGAAAGGCAGGCTTGAAAAGGGTGGGAATTGGGAGTGTAGCTGGAAGGCATCCGAGCGCTCACTTGCGGCTAACGCGTGGCCCGTCTTCAACTCGTCGGCGGTTGGAGTGTGACCAGGTATTTTATTTTATATGCTAATGTTCCTATAGAGAATTCTATTGCAAACCCATTGAGACCAAAATGAAAGACCTAGGACGAAAATTGAGGTGACCAGAGTGAAAATAGTGAAAACATTTTATCGTGTTTGCGTGCTCCTGGGTAACTCGTTCGCACTTTCTCTGTTTGCTGCGGGTAATTAGCCGGGCTTTTGGAGTTTATATGCATTTAGTGCTGTAGAGAATTCTATTGCGAACACAATGATACAAAATTTAATCTCGTAGGACGAGAATTAAGGTGACAAAGTTGAAGAGAGTATACACTTTTCAGAATTTGCGCGCACTCCCGTGACACCCTGGGTCCCATATCGCACAGTCGAGGGGTGGCGGGCGGGGTGCACAAAAGTGTTAACTTGGCTGTCACACACACAAGGGTTTACTGTAAATACCTTTTATTATTCATTTAAATTTTGATTAGCTGAAAATGAAACAAATACTCTTATCATGTATATTTTCCAATACAAGTTGCTGTGAAATAAAGTATACTGTATTATATAAAACAATTTATATAGGTTGTAAATAATTTGCATTAAAACAACAAATTAATAAATGTGAACATGGTTAAAAAATTGTATGATTTTTCACAGCAATTTTCATACAAACATTACGAAACCCAAAATGACTCGTCAACACACATGGGAAGGGAAACCTTCCACAACCAGCTGATGCACACTAAATACTAGCAAAGTTTAAAATATTTTTAGGAATGAGGGATAGGCTTTTTATTTAGAATTGTTTTACAAATACTGCATTAGTGAATTATAAAAGTTTATATTTATTTTTTACTTCAGCAGCCAATGAGTTATATATTCCTTGTGATGGGCATTTCTTTTGGTCATGGCATGAGTTAATACTAATTTGTACTTCAATGAGGTTGTGATCTGGCCAAAATATATATGTGAAATTATATGATTAATTTATTATTTAACTGGACTAAATTTTTGTAAGTAGTTCATTATATGGTGGTTCAATGCACACATATTCATAGGGCCTTACAAGACTTAAAAATGCCTATGTTCATTTCCACTACACATCTGGTTACATTTTCTTTACATCATGACAACCAAGCCTTCGTACATTTAAATCATATATTCAGAAGAATTGTTAAACACAGTTTTTTCATTAAATTATGCAATAAAATATACATTTAAATCTTTAGATATATTTATAAAGAACAGCACAATACCTGACAGAAGACATATGTAATCAATATAGACAAAATATAATACAATTTATCATTTTTATGGGTGATTAGAAGACCCAAGATTGCTTTAAGTTTTATGCCACTCATAATAATGGCTTGAGCAAAATTAACAATAAATTCACATTCATTACTTGACTATCAATTTTCATTTTTCAGGGAAATTTCCCTTTCATGAATGTGATCTTAAGAATAATCTTTCTTTAATGATTCAGGTCTTTTCACAAGATTTGTTTTTTAACATTCCTTTTATTCAGTGGTAAGTTCAAGCCAAACCAGCACAGAAATCTGTAACAAATAGTTCAAGTATGACCTCAATTTCTCTCTTTTTAATCACTTGTGGGCAGTAGGAATCATTGGGGAAGATGATGCCAACTACTCAAAGAAAAGTAATTCAAAGGGGGCAACAAGCCATCAACTATATACACAAATATTAATACTTACAAGTGTACTTTCTTTGGCATCATTTATACATACAGTATTTATAATTTAATTTCTTATTGATGGCTCACTAAGCAGCACTTGAATGCGAGACTGCAAACCTTGGTGTTGGGATCCACAGGCAGCCAACACTTCAGTTAGACCCGTCACACTACGCTGCTCCTGAGCCACTTTTACGGCCTCTTCCAAGAGTCTGGTAAGGAAAGAAATGATTTTACTGTTACCAATCCCAGATACTGATGAATAACTGCTTTATTGCAGGAAAATTGCATTTTCCATTAATATGACTTTAATATTAATCTAACTATGTGAAACTTTGTATTCTCCATTAATAAAAAGCAGGAAAAGACAAAATTAGAAGGATGATCATTTATGTAAATTTTAATGTTTATTTGGATAACAAATACAAATGAAAATAATGAAAGTTAATTTAAAAGTACAGCAGGGCTGGAATGCTCTATGAAGGCACAACCACAAAATGTTTAAATACAGTATACTGTATTTAACAAAACTCTGTATTGTAAGTAATTCTTGAAGAAGGTATTTATCACAGTCCATTTCAGCATATTCAAAAGGTACTAAACATCACTCAGGATGCCAATATATGAGTAAAAAGACACAATATGAGCAACATCAGAGTATCAGATCCACCAATTAGAGTATTCTATTGAGGGACAAGTGACTGACAAACATTTGGAAAGCACAACTTATGATCATTCTGAAATTCTACCAGGATTCATCAACTATCTGTGTAACTTCTACAGCTTTCTCCAAATATGGTGGCTTAGTTTACATTTATTAAATAGTTTGAGCTAAGAAATGCTACGAGGTTGTTTATAAAAATAATGTGGCCCCCTGGGGGCCACTCAAAACAACAGCTTGTTGGACCAAGCCCTCAAATCAGGCCTGGTCCTGGGCTGGGCTTGGGGAGTAGAACCCCCTCCCAGACACATCCCCCAGGAGCAGTGTACCCCACCTGGTGTATGGGGGCATCACATACATATCAATGTATGTGATATCAATTCCTTAGAAGCTGCATTCACAAGTTCATTCAAAACAACACCAATATGGCTGGATATCCAGCAAAATAAGACTGCCTTAATTCTGTTAAAATTAAGAAACTGTCAGAATTGGGTTTTGATCACCCTAAGATGCAAAAGGTTAAACTCTAGATCCATGAGGGCACTGCAAGCATCAACCACAGTAACAAAGGAATATTGATGAATAAAAGTGTTAATGAAGAGCACACAAAATCACAAAGCACTGTCAGACACTGCCAAGGCATGTTGGTTTCATCAGGAAAACACAATAGTAGCCAATACTGCCAGCAGACTGACCCATCTATGAATAGAGTAGAAGAGTTTGAATGGCAGAAAAATGTTAAAGGAAAAGTCTTTTTCTTAAGAGGGGAAAAAGTGCAGGTCAGGAGTCTCAAAATTTCACACGTAGACTCTCCACAGGGGCAAGGAATAAACACTAGGAAAAACACTGTGGATAGGTATCAAGAGGGAATCCTATAAACAGGACAAGGCATGTGCCTAACAGTCTTAGCCCTGCATGAAGTACGGGACATGTAAGGTCTATAGTCTTGGTGCATTCAATTCAAATGCAAGAGATACGTAGTGACCAAAGTGCAAAGATCAACCTCAAGCATTTGGCATTATCTCTATACATGATGGATGGATGGATGGAAGGCAGTCAGATGTGGAGTCGCTCGTATAGGCAGGCAGGCAGGCAGGCAGGTAAGCAGGCAGAGATGCAGTACCCATATGACATTGTCTAGCCCTCTGCATGCACTGGCAATCCCTGCCAACCAGACTGTATGCTTGCCTGCCTGTTTATCTAGCAGGCATAAGTAGTAGTGAGATGCATCACAATGAATGTGGCTTGGAGGAAATTGTAAAAGACTATCTAGCATGAAAAATTTCATAGGGCTCGTGAACAAAGACCAACTAATCCCACCTTGAATAATTATCTTATAAATCACTGGAGAGATGCCTTACATCAGTGAGTTACTTTTTGGTTTAATACCTATGTATTATTGAGTAGAAAGTAGTGTTTGTTTAGCCTATCCCTAATTTTTCCATACAAGTTCAACTTGAACAGATTTGCTACGCAAGTGGTTTTTCTAAAAATGCGTCCCCCACAGTTTGAGGGTGTCTCTTACAGATTTCCTGTCTGAAAATGAAAATTTGTATTAAAACTTACTATTTGGCAGTTCATTAAACACTATGACAAATAGACAATGTTATTCCTTGCTAATGTGGTTTGCAATTTATATTATCTAGAGTATTTCCATTTATTCTGAATGGAGACTTGTGGTCTCGGTCCGAAACAAAAACATTCAAAAGGACTGTTGACATTCTCACCAATGCAAATTAATATTCAAGTATGTTTTAAATACCTACCCACATCTTGTAAGATATGTGACCTTGTTTTCATCTTTGACCTTCATAGCATATTTTTGGGCCTCGATTTTGTTTGTATTTTTCAGACAGGCATCTACAAATGGCTGTAAAAAAAATATATTATAAATGTTCAATCATGGCAATGTTTCAAAGACATCAACAAAAGTGTGTTACTGAGAGTGCCAGTTTATGTTTTAAGAAGTGTTACTGGGGGCTTTGGAGATTTTTGTCTAATACAAAGGACAAAATAATAAGAAAGCACAAAGTGAAAAAATAGTGGAATATTAATATTAGTTTAAATGAACACGCAATACAAATGCATATAAAAGAAAGGCACCCTGTAATCCTGTAATCCTACTTGAATGAACACATTGGAATGAAATACTTTGTGAGCATGAAAGAAATGGCTAGTACAGGTAGAACAAATCTTGCTGGAAAAGAATATAATGTTTGCTTAACTATTTTTTCTTGATAGACCAGTACAACTCTTGAGTTAACAGATTTACATACATTTCTATACAATACCCAAGTGAAGTTATAGGATGAGAGCTACGCTCATGGTGTCCTCTCCTCCCAGTACTCTGTCATATGACACTTTGAAACTACTGATGGTTTTGGCCTCTACCACCACCTCGCTTACTTTTAATGCTTTTCACATAATTTTATAATTTGTAGGTTGTATTGGGCCTATTATCTCCTATTTCATATTCCATAACATGGCATTTATTCACATTGAATTCCATTTGCAAAGTGTTGCCCCATACATGTATTTTGCCCAGGTCTTCTTGAAAGGCATGACAATTGCCTACATTTCTTATCTTCCCTAGTAGCTAGGCATCGTCAGCAAACATGTTCATAAAGTTTTATATTCCTTCTGATAGATCGTTTATATAGACAATGAACATTACTCTTCAATAAACAGAACTGAACTCTGTGGTACTCCACTAGTAACATTTCTCCAGTCTGATACACTGCCTCTGATTACTGCCCTCATTTTGTCAAATATTTTTATCCATGTCAGAAGTCTCCCTGTCACTGCTCTAGTATGTTGCAGTTTCCAGAACAACCTCTTATGTGGGACTCAATAAAAAAAAAATTTTTTTTTTTTTTAGGTCCAGATAAATGCAGTCAACCCAATCATTTCTCTCCTGTAAAATCTCTGTGGCTCTATAATAGAAATTAAGATCTGTTACAGAAGATCTTCCTGTTCAAACTTTAATCTACAATATTTTGTCTTATATAATTCCTCTAAAGATGTTCTATCTATTTGGTTTTAATTTTTTTTTTAGTGTTTTGACTACTATGCTTGTCAACATTACAGGTCCACAATTAAGAGGGTCTTCCCTGCTTTCATTTTTGTAGACTGGAATTATATTTGCCCTTTTCTATTTATCTGCCAAGGCTGCTGTACACAAAGGTTACTGAAGTGGGGTGCTCAACTCAAGTGCACATTCTCTCACCTTGTTTCTTCGTAGCTCTTTGAGCATTTGTCCCCACTTTGTTTCAATACACTTGTGTACTGTACTCTACGGTATTCTCTGAAATTTGTATTGTGTCTGTTCTCTGATGACTTCATTTTGCATCAACACACTTTGGAACTGTTCGTTTAGTGTTTCAGACTAAACTTCTCTGTGAATCTGTTCCCCCATTTTCAACTTTTGGAATTTATCCTTTACATGCAATTTGCTTTTAATGAATTTATAGAACAGGCCTAATTCCGTTTTACACTACTCTGCAATCGCTCTCTCAAAGTTTCTTTTTACTTCTCCTCTCAATAATGTGTTTCTTGTTTGTATTACCGGTACGTTTGAGGGTTATGCCTCTTCCTTCATCGATTCCATTTCTGTTTAGTCTATTGTTCTATGGCTCTCACAATTTATATTGAACCAACCTTGCTTTCTGCTTGTGCACCTCTTAGTATAAATTTTCTTTTACCTTCCTCATTTATCTCAAAATTTGGCATACATCTCATTTATTTCTTTGCCTGACAATAAAGCTTTCCAATCAAATTCATTGAAGAACTCACTACGTTCCCCCATGTTGTCCTCTCCTGAAATCTAATTTTTCAGTAGTTTTGTCCTTATTCTCTTTTAGATTACAATGCATTGCATATTTTGCTTCCAAGAAGACATGGTCTCTTACCCAAGGGAGGAAAGTACTCTACTGAATGTCAAATATCTCCTCGTTTTCCCTGGTGAATATCAAATCCAACATTGATGGAACATTCCCTTCCCTCATTCTTGTGGCCCGCTTAATGTGTTGGAACATGTCTCCATGATAAGGTTTACGAATCTGTCAGTCCAAATGTTCCCCGTTCTGACTTCATATGCCTCCAAGTCTATTGATTTAAAATGGAAGATACCAAGTACTGTACCAACAATCATGATTTATCTATCTGCTATAACTATAATGTCTCTTGATCATTATGAGGACCTTTCAATTATTCGTCTAGCTACTTCTTTGTCCATGTGTTGCTGGTGAACTGTAGGCATTTATGATTATCAGTTTATTATCCCGATTCCAAATCTCCAGTGTCAATATGCCAAATTCACGTGGATTGTCATTTATTAATTATCTTACCTTCAGGAACACTAGTAAACTGCTGATATAACATACACAGATGTTACAAAAGCTATCGACAAATGTGACCATGGTACTATTGCACACAAAGGAATTACTGTACTGGCAAAATAAGGAGATGGATCTTTAACTTCCAAATTAAATTTCTCACCCTAATATAAGATACTGTAGATAACGATACAAACTATAGCACTGAATCATCCTTTGCAGATTTCAAGGATTTTCACGAGAGTAGACAATATAGAGGACACAGCAAGCCCCCAATCTGATGTTAATCAAGTCTTTCAATGGGCCATAGAGGATAATGCTACATTTAATGAGAAACAGTTTTACTTAACCCTTAAGCTGTTAAGGGGTCCTGAGGAAATTTACACCCCCTGTGCGCAAGACAAAAAAAATTCTAAAAAATTATTTCGTCTTCTAAAAATGTTAATTTGTGTTCCCTGAGCACGGGGGAAAAAAATCGTAGGTGACATATTTTGGGCACAATAGGCCAAGGAAGTCTGGCAAAATGTGGGCGTTGACAGAGCGGTTGTCAGAGGCGGTCAGCGTCACCCGAGCTGACAGGTGGGAGCTGCCACAAAGATATTATCACCTAATTATTTAAATGTCTCTGATTTTTTCTTAGTTTTTTGCCGTAATATTATTCAATAGTGTGTAGTGTGAGAGATTTATATAATAAAATGTGTGAATCATCGCTGTACTCAAAAGTATGGTGTTCATGTTAGTGATTCAATTATTATGTTCATAAAGCAATAAACAAATAGTTTTGCAGTTATTACACTATATACACAAATTATATATAAGTATCTACATGTTTTGTTCACCACAACTGTACAACTAAGCTGATATAGTTAGTTCAGGCACTGAGAGGCATTGCTGCACACACAGTCAGCTGGTGGCTGCCTCCCTCACTCATTCAAGGTCAAGCGCACTAAAATTTCTTCCCCCAACAATACTGTTTGTAGTGTTATTACACTACATACACACAGTATATATATATATATATAAGTATCTACATGTTGTATGCACCGTAACTGTACACCTAAGTTTGTAGGGTGCCCAAAGAGCATAGTGGCCACCCTCTACACAGCTAGACAAGTCATGCAAACGATGCCACCTCCGTCACCCAAATGGCTTCTCCCAACATAATCCTTTTGCTGTTATTACACTAATACACACATTATATGTAAGTATCTATATTTGTGTTCACCATAGAGAACCACTGAGCTGGTATGGTGAATGCAGACAATAACAGGTGGTAACACAGTCAGTAATCTCCCTCCTCCCACACAGCACTAATTATCACAACAATCCTGCTATTATCACAATCTTGGTCATTTTTATCACAGTCAGGGGTCATCTGTAATGCTGTCATCGATAAATAATAGCAGTTACATATTTATTTTGACATTTTTAGGCGATGCTGTGGTCACAAGCTGAACAGCAATGCTGTTAGCTCATGCTGCGTGCACCAGCCTTGGTTGCTCCCACAGTACTGTGGATCTTACACAGGAGAATATTGCCTACGATTTTTTTTAAACATGGCGTCTGTTTACAAGAGCTCTGAGGAAGCTGCTGTGAACCCTGGGTAGCCGCGGGCCACTTGAATCGTGCCTGGCACCCTATGGTGTATATATACGCCATATGCACCATGGGACATGTTCCTCATGGCGTATGCGCAGTTTAAGGGTCAATATGCTATGGAAGAAATGAAAATATCGAAACAAACCGTATATAAAATGCATTCAAACCACACTTTTGAAAGTAAAAGCAATATAAAACTCTTAGGAGTATAGTAATAATGTCAGAAGACCTTACTTTTAAAGAACATAACAAAGCTGTCCCATCTGCAAGAAAAATGACAAGTTGAATAACAAGAATCTTTCTAACAAGAGCTGCCACACCAATGATGATACTTTTTAGAGTAAAATATTGTTGCACACACTAACAGCCCCATTCAAAGCTGGATAAATGGCTAACCTGTAGAATATGCAAAGATTTTTTACCGTTAGAATCTACTCAATAAAACAAACTATTGAGATTGCTGAAATTTTTTACATCTCAATTCCTGAGAGCACAGGTGGGAGAAATGCATAATTTACACTTTGAAAAATCTAGAAGGACTGATTTCAAATTTTCACACAGAAATAACACTACATGAGATCAGAAAGCATTGGCAGGATGTGCAAAATAACCTCACTGGAAAGCAGAGGTGCAATAGGCACAATGAGTGAGAACTATCAACATCAAAGGCTCAAGACTTTTAAACACACACTCTTCTCAGATGGAGCATAACCGGCCGATCTTTTGCAGTATTCAAAACAGAACTTGATAAACATCTTTAAGGGGGGATACCTTATCAACCAGGCTGCGACTCTTATGTCAGGCTGCAAGCAAATGCATCGAACAGTCTGGTTAACCAGACCACCAAACAAGAGGCCTGGCCAAAGACTGGGCCATGGGGATATTGATCCTCAGAATCATTAACAGGTGTTCTTTTTACCTGCATGGCAATTCCTCCACCTTTTCTATTTTTCTGTTGTCTCCAAACTGGGTAGCCCTTCGGAAATAAAATCGAATTTAAAAAATTAAACGAAGTCATTATTAGTAGTAAGCATCCATCAGTCATAGGAGACTATGGAGTTGCACTCTAGTTGTTGGTCTGGGTTGGCCTCTCCAGGGCGCAAAGCCAGGGTAGGATAATATGGAGGAGAAGCTGTCACCCAAGCAGCAGGTCCTCCCTCTCCACGGCACCGAAAGTTCCCAATGGAAAGCAAGCGCCAATACGATTGGTTCCAGCGCCCTCACAGGAACTGTAAGGACGAGGTTGAAGGCAACAACAAACTGCCTTAGGGGCTCCAGTTCTGGAGTTAACCTCGAAGTTGGTAAAAGAAGGCAGAGACACTCCAAACCCAGAGACTACTGTGGTTGGGGCTGGAGAAGAACCACCCCAACAAGGCCAAGAATGACTCCAGCCTCCTGAAGCAGAGGTTGGACTGCACAAGCCCCAGGAGGTGAACTTCCGAGCCTCACACCTACGGGTTAGAGAGATCGTCACAGCACCCTTTCACCTGAGGCTGGCTTCCCTCAAGACCGAGCAGAAGGAAGAGTAATAGTAATTACAACTATTATTATTATATTATAATAATAATATAATTAATAATATAACAATTAATAATTAAGTGTTACTATAATTTTGCCTATGCAAACAGGGTGGCTATACAATTACAGAAGCTGTAATGACTGCAAAGTAAAAGGATACAGGTGCAAAGACAACAAGGTGGTGGGTGTGTTTGTTGCGGTGGTCATGGGTGTTGTGCTGGCCAACAAGTGAATGGTTGTGCAAAAAGAAATATGATGCAAATAATTATGGATGGGTGGTGGATATGGTACTAAGTTAGTTTCAACCACTTCATCTAACCTACTCCATTTATTTACAACTCTAGAGTAAGATAAATTCTTCCAGGCATCTGACTTGTTTTTATTTATACTACCTCATTCTGCTATCCATCACTCTGAACAATGCTGCTTTGTCTACTTTGTCAAGCCCCTTTACAATCTTGAATGTCATTATCATGTCCCCTCAGTTCCTTCTCTTCTTTAGTATGCCAAGGTCCAGTTTCCTTCAGTATAACCTCATAGCTCTGTTGCCTCAGCTTGGGAACAATCCTTGTTGAATATCTGAGAAACTTTCTTAATTTTGTTTTCTTTTCAGTTGGCAGTTCGATGCCAAAGCAGTAAGCTTAAGAGTGGGTTTTGCATAGGTTGTATAGTACATGGAACGCCTGTGTCCAAGTTCCTCAAAGTTTTCAGACATTTGGTCAGTTTGGCATTTGTACATCTCTGACATTAGATTTGGGCCGATATCTAATCTGAAGTCTTATAATTGATGCAGTGAAGTGTTGCCTTCATTCTGGACTATTGTGTAGGTCTTTTTATTCTAGTAACTATCCTCAAAACTTTGCATTTGTCTGGGTTCAAGTCTAGTAGCCATTTTTCAGACCACCTTCGGGGTGCTGCAAGCTCACTTTGCTAGGTATCACAGTTACCCCCATCATTCCTAGTCTTCCATAATTTTGCATCAGCATCAAATGAATCTATTGATGATTAAAGAGATCTTCTAGATTACTTACCTCACTATTCCCATTCCTCTACTTATGTAAAAACACAGTATGCCAATGATAAACAATATGTAAACATTTCTCACTTCAAACATACCTCAAAACCAATAGGATTTTTCTTATTCTTTGAAAAGTTTGCCAACTCTTCCCAATGACCAGCTTCAGCATGAGCAACAACCCGCAGCCACCAGTATCTTTAAAAAAAAAAGAACAATTTTAGAATATTTTATATAAAAAGGGGCTAATTAAACCTTAGACTGCACAGGGGTTATATCAGTCATTATCAGCATGCACACAGAAAAATTGTATTTAAGACAGGGATTTTGTCTTCCTATATTGTTAAAAAAAATCATGTCACTTTCAAGGTTAGCATATGTTTACTGGAAGCTTCAAATACTGATTAAGAACAACTATACCAGCAGGAGTTTCAAATGTTGCAAAGAACCTAAAACATCTGAGGATGGTGTGCACAATTCAAGGTTTAGTATAACAATAGTCAGTGAACTTTTGGCAGACAGGTGGGCAGGGCAGGGTAGGATGGGGCAGGGAGAGCTGCACATGTGAGCATTTGTTTTACAATTATATTACATCACAATGAAATCACAGTGGCATGATATATCAATGACAATCATTTTGAGGCAATGGAATGCTTGAAATCATGTTCTGATGATTCCCAGACACCTGCCTTAACTGACTAACTGAATTCTACTGAATTCAATGGGAGGTTCTGGAGGCCCCAAACCGCAAACCCTGGTTGGGCTCTGGTTCGAGGCCTCCAGAACTTCCAGTTAAGGCTTAAGACAGAGTCGGTCTGGGAATCATCAAAACAAGAGTTCAAGCATTCCATTGCCTAAAAGGATTTTCATTGTGCTACATCTGAACACTTTGGCTTCGTGATGACGTGCTCGGAGTCTTTAAATCAATACACAAAGTGCAACATGACATTAACACTGTCAACAATTAAAATATTTGTAAAAATTCCATTTATTATCCAGTTACTGTATTATGGAACTTGTTTTAACCCTTAAACTGTGCATGGCGTATATATACGCCCAGAGTAACATGTCCCACTGTGCACATGGCGTATATATATACACGACATTGGATGCCAGGCACGATTCAAATGGCCCACAGCTACATGGGGTTCACAGCTTCCTCAGGGCTCTTGTAAACAGAAAAAAAATTCTCCGGTGTAAGAGCCACAGTACTGTGGGAGCAACCAAGGCTGGCACCCACAGCATGAGCTAACAGCATTGCTGTTAAGCTTGTGACCAAAGCATCACCTAAATTTAAAAAAATAAATATAACTGCTATTATTTAGCAATGACAGTATTACAGATGACCCCTGACTATGATAAAAATGACCAGGATTGTGATAATAGTAGGATTGTTGTGATAATTAGCGCTGTATGGGAGGAGTAATGCTGAGGGAGGGAGGGAGGGAGATAGCGTCGTTTACTGACTCTGTGGCCACCTATTATTGTCTGCATTCACCATACCAGCTGTGGTTCTCTACGCTGAACACAAATGTAGATACTTGTATGTAATGTGTGTATTAGTGTAATAACAGCAAAAGGATTATGTTGGGAGGAGCCATTTGGGTGATGGAGGTGGCGTCGTTTGCATGACTTGTCTAGCTGTGTAGAGGGTGGCCACTATGCTCTTTGGGCACCCTACAAACTTAAGTTTACAGTTACGGTGCATACAACATGTAGATACTTATATATAACGTCTGTATATAGTGTAATAACACCACAACCAGTATTGTTGGGGGAGAAATTTTAGTGCGTCTGACCTTGAATGAGTGACGGAAGCAGCCGCGAGCTGTGTGTCTAGGGATGTCTCCTAGTGCCTGAACTAACTATATCAGCTTAGTTGTACAGCTGTGGTGAACAAAACATGTAGATACTTATATATAATGTCTGTATATAGTGAATAAAAGCAAAAACAGCAAGGTGGGAGGAGAAAGTGGGCGAGTGAGGGGTTGTTGAAGGAGGGAGTGGCAGCGCGTGGCTGGCTGGTGTGTGGCGGTCACGCCTCATTGCTTTTTGACTCATAATACCAACTTGGTGGTTTGTTATGGTGAACAAAACATGCAGATACTTATATATATAACCTGTATATATAGTGTAATAATAACAAAACTATTTGTTTATTGTTTCATGAACATAATGATTGAATCACTAATATGAACACCATACTTTTGAGTATAGCGATGATTCACCCCACTTATTATATAAATCTATCACACTACACACTTTTGAATAATAATACTGCAAAAAACTAAAAAAAAAATCAGACAGACACATTGAAATAATTAGGTAATAATATCTTTGTGGCAACTCCCACCTGACAGCTTGGGTGATGCTGACCGCCTCTGACGACTGCTCTGTCAACGCTCTCATTTTGCCAGGCTTCCTCGGCTTATTGCAGCTAAAATATGTCACCTACGATTTTTGTTATTTTTCCCGTACTCAGGGAACACAAATTAACATTTATAAGATAAAAAAAATTTTAGATTTTTTTTTTTTTTGCGCACAGGGGTGTAAATCTCCTCAGGACCCCTTAGCAGCTTAAGGGTTAAAATGCGCACCAACGTCTTCCCATTTTCTGTATACCCTACATGTCATCATGACACGGCTGCGTAGGTGGCCAACCACATAGCAGTTTACTTTATCTTTATAGTATTGGTAATAATGTTGTTCTATTTTACCTTACATGCATATATCCCTTCAGAGCATTCTATTGCGAACTATTTTATACCAAAATGAACGGTGTAACTCGAAAATTGTAAAGAGTATAAACATTGGAGTGTGGTTGTGCACTCACCTGCAATATGCAGCCTACCTTGTGGAGCACTGCGGGTGGCCCACAGGGCCACACAGTGTTAAAATAATCAACTTATGAAGACTAAACCACACCAGAAAATAAGGATTTTTTTTTTTTTTGCAGGGATATTCCTGTGCGGGCCCTAAACCTCTGGCTGACCCACTATAACAATGAGGAGATAACGACGTTTTGGTCCTTCCTGGACCATTATCAAGTCGATTGCAATGGTCCAAGACGGACCAAAACGTCGTCGTCTCCTCATTGTCTGGTGTGTGGTTTAGTCTTCACATGGCTTGCTATATCAATACTGTATTAGCTAAAGATATGAAAATTGCTACTCATAAATATCTTAGTTCATCTGTTTTAAGTATTTCTTAGCATACTTTAGAATGTCCATACATTTTGTAGGAAGTGTATGCAACTTATGATTATATTCTAATATTATTAACTCACTGCAGGTGCTTGCTGGAAAATGAAAGTTTAGCATGCCCAGTTAATTGTCAATTTTCCCACAATATAATTAAATATTTACTGTACAGCACTGTTCCTAAGCAAACTGTTCTAACTTTGAAGAATATAAATAATAATGAATAAAAATATAACTTTTCTAAACGTACCTTCTTTCAGGGATTTTAAACTCTGCTCTCAATTTTTCTGCCTCTTTTATGTGTCCATCCAATACCAGCTGGTGGACGGTGTCATGGAGGGACTTGTTTGCGTAAGGTTTATGTTGGCTCTCCTCAAGCCTCATCTATGGGCAAAAATATTTAAGCTTTTATTGTCTATATTAAATACACTTGCTCTAAAACATTGCAGGAAAACTTGTTTTTACTTTCATAAAAATTAAATATTACTAAACTGATTGAATTGCCAATCACCACCACCGATGAATCTCAAGGTTTGTTACATGTAGATGTTTAACCCATAAACAGTTTGAACCTTGCCATATGCCCAAAAATTTTTGCGTTTCCTTACGAGATGATAATTACTATGGTAAACAAAAGTAATTCAAAATCCTATATCTACCCTTGCATTCACCTGGTGAATTTTAGGATAATGGTTATGTGTTTTTAAACCATTAGATTTTAGCTGGTGAAAAAATTAAAATATAATCTACAGCATTCAACTTCAGATAATTTTCACATAAAAATATGTTCATATACAGGGACATCTTACAATATTCACAAACCTCTTAAAAATTCCTCCACACACAGCTATGTGATCCTATCTGATGGTGACTGAAATAAACCTGGGCAATGATTTTACAAAGCCTTCCCAACCCCATTAAATAATCTCTGTTAAAAATTATATTAATAGACATAAAAAGCACACTGCTTTTCATACAAGAATTGTATGAAAACTGCAAATACAATATAAATTTAATTTAAAAAGACAAAAATTTATTGCTGAATGCAAGCGGTGCAGGTTTCTGTACGGCTGACTATACTGTGTACCTGTATATGTATATGTATATGTGTGTGTGTGTGTGTGTGTGTGTATGTTCATATAATTCTGTATACCAACTGGTAGATCATTTATGTACACAATAAACATCACTGGTGCAAGAACTGAACCCTGTGGTACTCCACTTGTGACATTTCTCCATTCCGATACATTGCCTCTGATTACTGCCCTCATTTTTCTATCAGTCAGAAAATTTTTCATCCATGATAGAAGCTTACCTGTCACCCCTCCAATATTTTCCAGTTTCCAGAACAACCTCTTATGTGGAACTCTGTCGAAAGCCTTTTTTAGGTCCAGATAGATGCAGTCAACCCAACCATCTCTTTCCTGTAATATCTCTGTGGCTCGATCATAGAAACTGAGTAAATTCGATACACAGGATCTTCCAGATCGAAAACCATACTGTCTGTCTGATATTATATCATTTCTCTCCAGGTGTTCTACCCATTTAGTTTTGATTAGCTTTTCCAATACTTTCACTATTACACTTGTCAATGATACAGGTCTATAATTGAGGGGGTCTTCCCTGCTGCCACTTTTGTAGATTGGAACTATGTTAGCCTGTTTCCACACGTCTGCTACGATTCCTGTACACAGGGATGCCTGAAAGATCAGGTGAAGTGGAATGCTGAGTTCAGATGCACATTCTCTCAGAACCCATGGTGAAACGCCATCTGGGCCAGCTGCTTTGTTCCTCCCGAGCTCCTTTAGCATATTTTCCACTTCATCTCTAGACACCTCTATCCGCTCTATGTTGTTCTCTGGAATTCTTATTGTGTCTGGTTCTCTGAAGATTTCATTTTGTACAAACACACTTTGGAACTTTTCATTTAATGTTTCACACATTTCCTTTTCATTTTCCGTGAATCTGTTTCCCATTTCCAACCTCTGGATATTATCCTTTACCTGCAATTTGTTGTTTATGAATTTGTAGAATAGGCCCGGTTCTGTTTTACATTTATCTGCTATCCCTTTTTCAAAATTTCTTTCTGCCTCTCTCCTTACTGCTGTATAGTTGTTTCTCGCATCTTTGTATCGCTGGTATGTTTGGGGGTTTGGCCTCTTCCTATACTGATTCCATTTTTGTGTCTTTTGGTCTCTTGCCCTCTCACAATTTCTGTCGAACCAATCCTGTTTTCTGGCCCTGCGTCTCTGTTTTGGTATGAATGTTTGTGTGCCTTCCTCGTATAGTTTTAAAAATTTGGCATACATTTCATTTACTTCCCTGCCTAGCAACAATTCTGTCCAATTACACTCATTAAAAAAATTTCGAAGTTCCCCATAGTTGCCTCTCTTTAAATCGAGTTTATCAACTGTTTCAATGTCCCCATTTTCTTCTAGATGATATCTTAAAGCATATTTAATGTCTAACAGGACGTGATCACTCTTTCCCAAGGGAGGAAGGTACTGGATGTCAAAAATCTCTTCTTCTTTCCTGGTGAATACTAGATCCAGTACTGACGGTATATCTCCTTCCCTCATTCTTGTGGCTTGCTTTATGTGTTGATACAAGAATGTCTCCAGAATGAGGTTCACAAATCTGCATGTCCAAAAGTCCTCCGTTCTTGCTTCATAGGCCTCCCAGTCTATTGCTCTAAAGTTGAAGTCCCCCAGTATCAACAGTCGTGATTTATCTTTATCTGCTTGTACAATAATATCTCTCATGACCATTATGAGGCCCTCTCGATTGTCATCCAGTTCTTCCTTTGTCCATGTGTTGCTTGCTGGTGGGCTGTAGGTATTTACAATTATCAGGTTATCATCCTGATTCCAGACCTGCAATGCCATTATGTCAATATCTCGAGGGTTTTCAAATATTAACTCTTTTAACTCAAATATTAACGCAACTCCAAAGTTTTTGACCTCACTCCATCTATGTTGGTATATACAATTTTCAGGAACATGTTCCCTTTTCCTTTGCTCTTTACTCCCCCTTCCACTACTGATCTTGTTGCTTTGTTTTTATGTACCATTTCACAAGCTTTCCAGTCCCTGTCACTTTGTAAAAAAAAGAATTTCTGTCTTCTTCATTTCTATCCCCATTTAGCCGTTTTGCCTCAATTAAGTTCATTTTCAGCTTTTCTCTGTCTTCCTTGGAGAGGTCTTGTCTTATTGACCAAGATTTGCCAACCTCATCACTCTGCAGTTTCCTGGCATTTCTTAGCACTTCCATCATGTTTTTCACTCCATTAAAGGTCACCCTTAAGGGGCGGTTCTTTTCTTTCTCATATTTTCCTATTCTTCTAAAATCACTGACATTTTCCTTTGAGCCTTCTCCTAAACCTACTATTTTCTCTATGATTTTCATCTCTTCTGCCGCTCGGTCCACCCTAGATGAAATTTCCTTCTCTAAACATCCAAAAATGATTATGGACTTAGTTCTATCTGCAGTGTTTTGTACCAGTTTACTGTTGGTAACCAGTTCTTTCCTAATTGCTTGCCTAATTTCTGCTTCTTGTTGGTCATTTCTGGTTTTGACTTCCGAACACACTTCTTTGATAGTCTCTCTCTCTTTTACAACTTGAGCATATGTCGCTTTTATTTCTTCTTTATACTTTTCTAGTTCTTTATTCACCTCCTCTATGTGAGTTGTCAGTGAAGTTTCCAGTTGGAGATCCTTACCTAACTCTATGTTAGCCCTTAGGCTTGCTTGGAGTTGTTCACCATATGAGTCTATCTTCTTGTTTATTTCTTCAAAGTCACCACACTTCACTTTCCATGCCTCATTTTCTTTCACTAGTTCCTTGATTTGCTCCTCCTGATTTGTTACCTTGTCTGTTAATGCAGTAATAATCTTACCTTGTTGAAGCATACTCCCTTTTAGAGTGCAAAGCTCACTCCAAAGAGCTCCATTGTCCTCTTCTAATTTAAGCACTTTTTCTTCATACTTCATTTGCATGTCCTCAATTATCTCTAACCTGCCAAGAACACCTCCTTTCCTTATATCTTGTGTTGAGAATCCTTTGAAACCATCATCTGATGGTGTGTCTACCTTCTCAGGGGGGGTGGTGGCGGCAGCCATCTTTGATTTTGTTCTAGACCAAAACAAACTTTTCCACTCGACTATTTTCACTCAGTTTTACTTGTTTATTGTATTTTATTTGCTTTTACTCTTCCCTGAACCTTTATGTAACCTGGGACACCACTATAGCCCTCAACCTGTTCCCAATACTTAGGTAATTCGATATTTCCAGGAGCTTGCTGCAGTGTGACTTCTGCCTCCTCCAGCTTCACCAATTCCCCAATTCACAAAGTGTGTGTGTGTGTGTGTGTGTGTGTGTGTGTGTATATATGTATATGTATATATATGTATACGTTATATATATATACGTATATATATATATACGTATATATATATATATATATTATATATATATATATATATAATGTCGTACCTAGTAGCCAGAACTCACTTCTCAGCCAACTATGCATGGCCCGATTTGCCTAACAAGCCAAGTTTTCCTGAATTAATATATTTTCTCTAATTTTTTCTTATGAAATGATAAAGCTACCCATTTCATAATGTATGAGGTCAATTTTTGTTCATTGAGTTAAAATTAACGTAGATATATGACCGAACCTAACCTAACCTATCTCTATAGGTTAGGTTGGGTTATGTAGCCGAAAAAGTTATGTTAGGTTAGGTTAGGTTAGGTTAGGTAGGTTAGGTAGTCGAAAAACAATTCATGAAAACTTGGCTTATTAGGCAAATCGGGCCTTGCATAGTAGGCTGAGAAGTGAGTTCTGGCTACTAGGTACGACATACATATATATATATATATATATATATATATATATATATATATATATATATATATATATATATATATATATATATATATATATATATATATATATATATATATATATATATATATATATATATTAGTATATTTTGGTAGCAGTCTTTCCTGTAGACATATATTATTAAATATGACCGAAAAAGTAAGATTAATAATTCTAACACGAATTTTCTCAATCTTTCGTACATTACGCTTCACTGTTGGAGGTAAATCAAAAATCACTTCTCCAAAATTCATTTTTATTTCTAGTCTGACGCGACACGGGCGCGTTTCGTAAAACTTATTACATTTTCAAAGACTTCACAAATACACAACTGATTAGAACTTACGTCTCTCTGATATTATATCTACATTTGAGTGAGGTGGGAAGGGTGATGTGGCATTAACACAAGACAGAACAGGAGGGGATATTAATAGGGTATTAAAAGTATCAACACAAGACAGAACAGAAACAATGGGTATTGAATAGAAGTGTTTGTAGAAA